TGAAATCAATATTACCTCCCCCAATTCAGATTTGAATTTTGTGGTGTAGGGTAATTCTTTCATGTGATTTTGTGTTTATAAAATCCCACCACGCCTGCACACAAGAAGAAAACGAAGAGGCAAAGCTCCCATGGTCACATCACTAATAGTTGTTTAACGCCATTTAAATCTTCCTTCAAGACTTTCTTTAAAAAGCTCTATTATTCCGGTGGACACTTCTTTAAATTTCACAGGAGGAGGATTTTGTGGATTCTCACATGATAGTTCTATGAACACAAGCCAAGATTATCACTCAGGCAAAGCCTCAAAAGAAAGATTTAACATTTAAAATATGATCAGATGCATTATTGGTACATGAAAAAGAATGAACTTGGAATGTCACCATAAGGAAAAATAATTAATTTAAACCAATGAAAGAATTTCTCAAACGCCTCAACAGCATCAATTACAAACTTCTTCACAGAATTCTTAGGACGAGTTCTTGTTGGTCTTGTAACGGTAGAGAATCCTCTTGTTCTTGTTCGATGTGTTCTCAATAGTGAGGACAATCTTTCCAGGTTCATTGTTCGTGAAAATGTTTCTAACAGGCCCTTCTTGTGAGCCCATCTTCTTCCCTTTTGAACTATGACTGTATAAGAACCCTCATCGGTGGGAACAAATTCCTCCCTGTAATTCACCTCCCAACCCAACACAGTTAAATCCCAAAGCAATGTGTTTCCAACCTGTTGATCAACCACAATCAGCAAGCGACGTTTTTCTTGGGTAAACAGCAGACATTTTTATCTATGATGTTCTTGTTTCTAAACCTAAATTGAAAGAACTTGTACACAAGTTGGTACTACCTCTAATGCGGGAATTTCAATGGTTGCTGTTGATCCAGCCTTGAGAGTAATTTCAGAAACAGAGCCATCTTGGGCAGAAAATTCAGAGTCGTTTTCCCTCTTGAAACCACCGTAGTTAACAGGGATCTCCTCAATAGGAATGTACCTGTTTTCAAGAAATGAAGATAAAATCGATTCTGAGTTCAGAGTGAAGTAAGGGCATTTCAGTTTTGTCTTCCGCAGATCTTTGAAAAATCTCCTGTATAACTATGATACTTGGAAGTCCAATTTATTCGAATTTCATCATTTTACGTGAACTAAACTCTTCACGAAATCGAAAGAATATCACAATTGGGATTAATAGAGTGATGAAAAACTTATTTGGATGCGACTGATGGTGATGTTCGAATCAAGTAAACGTTGTTTTAGTTTTAGTCAACTTGATAAAGAATGGGATAACGGACATACTTGAGCAGGGTTTCGGTGACCTTAGCAGGACGAGCAACGACAAATTTGCTCTTTGTTCTCTGTGTTAAGAAAGGAGATAGAAGGGCATTGAGAGCATAGTACCAGAAAGGCACATTGATGAAAATCTACAAACACAAACACAAGCGCAATGCTCAGTTATTCTGATCAACTAGAGACAGGAACACACAGATTGGTCATTGAATATGACTGACAAACTTACATTTTTGGCAACCATTTCAGGGTAGTTGTCCTGCAAAATGGCAAGAGCTTGCTTCGTGGCAACTCGGAGCTCCTTTTTGGCCGGACCAGGGGAGCTCTTAAGATCATTGATCTGAAGCAAGGAAGAAACACCTCCGGGCTTCATGTTCAACTTCTGAATACCCTCCTCCATCAACTGCAACCTCCATCTCAAGAACTCACTTCGCTTTTCCTCAGTCCCAAATGTCTTATGGTACATCTCTTGGCTGTCGAACACCCCAAAAATGTTGTAGCACACGGGATGACCGTCGCGATCCACGCCGTTCATGTAAGCAGCGGATCTCAGGTCGGAGCCAAAATCCTCGTCAAGAATGGAATCGATATTGGATTCCTTGCGCCATTTAAGCGTCTTGGTCAGCATGTCGAAAGCTTCATTGACTTTGAACTCCCTAGCCCTCAAGAACTTGAGGAGAACAACATCAACACCCTCTGCTCCTTGGCTGGGCAAGAGAGGTACTCCCCACAGAGAAATACCCTTGTGGTGGATTTCCACCGGTTCAACTCTGTTACCGTCATAAGCGTCAGCAGCATCCTTTTCTTGCCTGGGGAACAGAGTGTTTCCGGCGATGGCTTCTTGGAGCTTAGATTTGAGTTGGTTCAAGGTGTTTCTCTCGAAGTCTTTGAGATCAGAAGGGAAGTTGCTTTCTTCCTTGTAAGAGGAGCTCTTGAGGACAGTTGGGAGTTGGGAATCGGTGGGAGGTGGTGGCTGTTGTTCAACAAGCGCCTCAGCGGGGTGGGGTTGTTCTCTAGTCATGGAGAGGACTTGGGGGACAGAGAGGGAGAGGAGAAAAGGAAGAAAATGGAATGAAGTAGTGTGGATTGTGGGTGGGAAGAAAGATATAATGAGGCTGTTGGATTGTGAAAAATATGAAAGGAAAAGGAGGAGCAACGGTCACAAAGCAGGATGCAGCCGCTGCAATAGGGTGACATGGGCATCCTGAGAGAAACGCCACTCTGGAAAGCAACCATTATATATTATTACGAGTATATTATATTATATTATAAATGCCTCTCACTCACTTTTTAATCAACAGCGCAACGGTCTTATGCATCGTGTTATATATATATATATGTGTGTGTCATATGTGCTGCTACCTCCTGTAATTAATATAAAACCCTATTTGATTTTTATTTTGATCCTAAATATAACACCCTAATCCATTTTGTCTATCATATTTATATATTTTTTTTTAAAGTAACCCTTCTAACAATAATAATTCTAGTCAATACACTTGATTAGTAAGAATATTTTAAAAAAGATAACATCTATTTAAGACAAATAACTAACCTAATTTACTTTTCTAATTTTTTAAATTAGTCAACTGGTTCTTATAATTAAGATAGAGGTAGTATTTTCTATACACCCTTACATAAGGGGGGGAAAAGGACGATGCAGGCGCATATACAAATTTATTAATAGCCTTTTAGGTAGATTCAATATTAAGATTTTTTTTTTGCCAGCAATTCAATATTAAGATTTAAACGTACAGCGAAATTAAATTCAAGCTCATGAGTCATGTCATGTGACCTTGTTTTGGACATGTGGCAGGCACGTTGTAGGGTAGCAAGTATAGCAATGAAATAATCGTATCCTTATCAGAAAACACAGTCGCACCCGCTGACTGATCTAATAGATGGTCAATTTGAGAAAACGCATACTTATTTTCATTGTTGCTTTATTCAGCCGACATTAAATCATGATTGCGTATCTATCTATGATTCCCCAATCATGAGTTTTGTCGAGTGCTGGAGTTGTGCTGTATGTATTTGTTTTGTTCGTTCTTGTTTCATTTCCGAAAAAAAGCAAGCAGCATCATACAGAGCCTTTAATTCGCATGTCGGGGAAATAGCGCACTCACGTGCAGATTGGATGTGTAGATGGTGCACATTGCAGTAAACAAAATCAAGCTAATAGCGGTCGTGTTCCACGTACGAGTAAGCCGTCCGTATCACCACCATCCACAAGCGGCTGTGTACGTAGGCAGGGAATTAGGATGATCCTCCCACGCTCCAACGTGACTGCTTCAGAAGCTGCTCCTCCTCCCGTCCCATCCACACACACACCCTTCTCCATCCTTCCCGCTCTCAGAGACGCAATCGAGGAGCATGTCTACCGCTAATTAAGAGTGGGATGCGCGTGCGTATTTGTTCTATTTACCAAAACGAGGGAGTACGATGGAAAACCATACTGTACTAGAAAAAATTATAAAAAAAATTAATTATTTGTTTTCTGTAGTAGAATTTTATGGAGCATGATGGAAAACCATTTCCACCTATTTTGGTGGAAATGGAAATGGAAAAATTTTCAATTCCATAATACCAAAGAAACTTTATCATGAATAATACTATAATGGAGTAAAATACAATACTAGAGTAAAATAAAATATATAGAATAAATTAAAAAATCAAATTAATTACAAATAAAACGATGAATGCTCTGTAGGTGTTTGTTTTATTGTCCCCAGGCTGATTTCGAACTTGTTTAATAGAATTGTTGGAGGCAACACACTCACATGCAGATACCAGATGGAGAAGAATACAATGTCCACTAGAGTATTAGTGTATATCGTACATAGCTTTAGGCCTTAGCCTTTAGGTGTGTGCATGTAAATTACACTGAAAGAAGGAACACGTGACTCAACCTCGAACCCACTTAAACGTAGCCTTTCCCCCCCAGGGTTCCTCTTCCTTGGCTCTTGTTACCAGTTGGGGTGGTATGATATGAGAAGCAGAAGCAAGAGAAGGAAGAAAGCAACGCCCCAAGGCGAGTCCCCGCCATGAGCACCACTCAGCTTGGGTGGCTCATCCTCAAGTCCATGCCGAAGGCGGCCATATCTAAGAACAGAGTAAGCCACCCACATCAACAAGAGCGGCACCAATATGTTGATGGATATGCTGCCACCGTTAGAGCTCCTTGGCAACCACAGCCAGAAGCCCACTATTCCTGCTACGGCCATCACCTGCGCCGGCGGTGCCCTTATCCGCCACTCCTCACTTATTGCTCTCTCCATTTTTGCGCTTCGCTCTTCTATGCCCCCACCATAAATAGTGTCTTATGGCGGTGACCTCAAGATCCTACCTTTCGCCCCACCCATTTTAACTCGACACTTGTTTTTTGCCTCGTCCCACCCGGCTCTAAAAATGATGCAATCTTCCGTCATATTTTGGACACTAGCTCCTACCGGATTGACTCAAATGAACGCACTCAAATGTATCCCCACCGCCCTGCCTCACCCCTACTTCGAGGCAGACGAGGACATCTATTCCGCAGCTCTACGGCCTCATCTCATAATAGTTACTTCTCTATTAATTATAATTAGTCACTTCCTCTATATGTAATTGAAAACATATGGATTATTAACTATAGTCGAGTCATCAAATATTTATTCTTATGTATATCCTAAGGCCCAGCAGGAAATCATAATATTTTATAAACGTGTTTTGAACAAAATGAAAAATAACAAAACAGAAAGGGTATATTTATATTTATATAGTCGCAGTTGCTACATGAATGTATAAAAGCCACCTATATCAGTTATCAGCTTAACAGATTATACATCCCTACATGAAAGCAATGGTGAGGCCTTCCTAATGCCACCCATAACCAGTATGCAAAGGTGGTTAACATGGCTCTGCATTTTCAACTATTCTCTTCAAGGCATCGGCTCCCGCGCATTTCAAAACCTGTGTCCATCAGCCACAAAATGCAATTAGCATACCGTCAAGACAAGTATCTTTTGCACTCGCAAATGACAGTCAAAAAGCATCAGCCTTAAATTACATTGACCCCCTGAAAATTTCATTTTCTAAGATGCCCAAAAAGCCTTCAATGAACAGAAAGTTAACTTCCCAGTCCCTACAAAGGGGAATGATTTATTCCAGCATATTTAATCAGTTGCCTACGTCACATACCATAACAATTATCATTCTTTTTTTTTTTTTGGGGGGGGGGGGGAAGGCAGCGGGGAGGGGAAGAAATAGACATGAAAAACCAGAGTTTTACATCGTTAGCATCCTTGAAAAAGCTCTGTTTATCTGTCTTCGGCCAACGTACCTGCCAACACCTAAAAAGTTCAGGGGCAAAAAAAAAAACAAAAGCACAAAACATTAGATAAAATGAAGTAAGGCCTATAAATAACTGAACATTATAGATTATAGTCCACAAGCTTCAAGTTGGGTGAACAACACAGAACGCATGACCACAAAAAGCATCGACTATGTCCTCAGCTCCAATAAAATTGTGCTTGGTTCCGAAGGGAAAGAACCGTGACCTCATTACTTAGATATGCAGCATAGCCGATGCGACAAATTATGATCAAGCATGATAATGGAGAGAAACAAGAAAATTAGAAACGATCTCTATTTCATCAACAGACTTCAGTGCATGGTATGTAGGCATATACAGGGACCAACCACCGTATAATAAAGCCCCATAGAGCAATACGCTAACAGCTAACTACTTCCTATAGTTAGTTATCTTTTTATTTATCTCTAACATGTATCACATGAAACTCAAATTTGACGCATGAAACAGTGGGCTTTTCATCTCTAAGCTGCCTTTAACTCATTTGAGCTTCAATCGTCATGCTTTGGGTCAGGGGAGCAATCTGTCCATGCAATATATGCACATAAAAAATAAACTACATTTATATAGCACGAAAAATAAATTACTGCATTTATATGACCTTTCTCTCCCAAGTCGACGCGCTAACTCTTTAGCTAAAGCTTGGCCTGGTGGGTCACTATCAGTTGCCAAGATGATGCGATCTACCTATAAGAACAGAGAATAAGACAAACTACTTACGTGCTCAATTCTGTTTCAAGATATTATGGGAAGGGAAGACGCCATATCCTTTACCTTATCTAAGTACTCTTTGCAATTCCACAGGTATTGATATCCAGTATCCTAACTTCATCAAGACATTGGTACACAAATTAATAGACTGAATAGATAAATTAATTGACAATTCACTAAATATTCAATGAAAAGAACAGACAATACAGAAACTTCGAAGGAGGGTGTCAATAGACACAGATGAAATGAGAATGTAAGTCATGAAAAGAGATAATCATTGCGCACTTTATTTTCTGCACTTTTGTACATAGGAAAAATTTGTATCAATGTGTATGACTTCACAGGCCTTGAGGTTGCAAAATATGTGTGTGTGTGTGTGTGTGTGTGTGTTGTACAAAATCACAAAAGGGTCTATAGTCCACTTTCATAGACAGAATCATCAGGGTCAAAGATGGGATAGACATGTACAATTTGCACAAAGGCATCGGTAAATATGAGTTCTTCATTGGCCCCATAGAAAAAAAGGAAAGAAAAGAAAGGGCAGAGGGAAGCGCATACATTCGGAACACAGATTGTGAGTGCTCTAAACGGACAATTTAGTCCAAACATTGTCAACGAACAAGCTAAGTGTGTGTATAAGGTTATTGAAATACACCAAAAAGGATAAAAACAAAAGAAGCACCGGCAAATCATCTATGCCAGCGAGACTATAATATAAACATAAACTCTCAACAGCCACAAATCAAATCCCGTCTTCTTCCTAGGCATAAAAAATGAGTTTGTAAATCACACTGCCTTCTCAAAAACTAAAGTCAGCATCGTATCCCAAGTCCTGACAAGTTCCAATATGAAATCAAACCTTTTCTATTGGCGGCAAATCTTTTGAGGAAACCTTTGATGGTGCTCCCCCTGGAACACTTACGCAATTTTGATAGCCAGCCTCTTCTAATGAAAGCTTGTCTATTTCCCCTTCAACCTAAAATCAGCACGAGATTGTATCAAAATATTCACCTCTTTTCTTTTTATTATTTTATCTTGGAGAGTGGAAACATCTAAAGGTGTGAAATTCAGATAATATGTAGAGATGGACAAAATGAACGCATGGAATTTACAATGATAATTTCAGCTGCATCACTGATGTCATCAAGTCCATACAAGATCTTGTCTGTACCTTTTCCCTGTACATCAAAGTCAGCATTTTCAATGCACATCAGATAATTACGATGAAGATATTATTTTCAAATTAACCTGTCCATAAAAGTAATTTTACTAAGTTGATAAATTCCAAGGCTTACGTTGATACAGGGGCCTTTATTCAATTGGCCATAATGATAGATATACTATGATCAAATGTGACTATAGCCTGTTGATTCTTAAAGGTTTGGTTGATCATTAATGCTAGAATCAAGGAGTAATGCTTACTGACGAATTATTTTGAGATGCCCATCTACTATTCACCCAAAAATAAAGGCTCCGGAGAAGTAAAGGTCCAGACCAATAAAACTTCCATCTCCCTTTCTTTAACTTCCCCCATTCCCTGCCCTTCCTTCTCTCTACAACTTCCGTCTGTCAACTTTAGCAAAATCCTTTTAAAACAAAGAATAGAGACAAGTCTTCTTAGAATTGTACAAATTAATGCTTGAAATGTGTTTTTGACAACCACTATATAAGTGCTACCCACTTTTCTGGTTAACACTGCGAGTTTGATGGTTTCTAATGTATCCAGTCAGCCATTACAAGTGGTACCCACTACAGAAGGATAAGGTAAACTAAATCTGAAATGATAAGCTCAGAAGGTTCACTCAATCATTTAGGGACACCTATAGTGAGAATGAAGAGACACGGTTAGACAAATAACAATAAATTCAGACAAAAACAAGTTACCTGCCAAAATCTTTTCTCCATAGTTCGGTATTTGCAACCAACAAGCAATCCATTCCGTCTGTAAGTAAAAGCAATTACATTCTGCAGAAAACTTCAAATGTCATCAGAAGTTCTTCATTTGTAAATACATTCACACACATTTTCATGGTTAAAGTGTAAAATATTATATATCTGAATCTCATTACTTCAAATCACTAGTATACAGTTGTATATCCTTGAATACAAACAAATTGGTCAGATTTGTCCAGACCTTTTGAAAACAAATTTTGCATACGCTTCATCAGACACTAATGTAGAGGTAAAGATTGGAGATAAAATCATATCACAAGTGTCAAAGTTTAAGTATATAGGAGATGATGGTGAAATTGAAGGAGATGTTATGTATAGGATAAAAGTTGGGTAGTCCTTTATGACTATAATGTACATATTAAGCTTAAATGGAAGTTTTACTAAATTATTATAAGACCAAGGATGCTATATTATAGTGAATTTCGGATATTAAAAGGACAACAAGAGAGAAAAAACCAAGGTAGTAGAAGTGAGGATGTTAAAATGAATGTATAATCGTACAAGAAAAAATAAGATTCATAATGATTATATACAAGGAAAAGATTGTGTGGCATCTATCAAGGAGAAAATGATAGAAACATTTAAGTGATTTGGAATCTTTAGCTTTGTAAAGAAATGCAGAGAGAAACCAAGGACACTTGAGGAAATTATCAAACGAAAAGTAGAGATTTTGTAATCACAAAATAAAAAATGAGAGGGTTTATATAGGCATAGTTCAAAATACCTTGTTGTCGGACATTTGCATTACAGCATTTCTGCTCAGAGTTTTCTCTGATATCAGTCTCTCCTTGAAGTATGCAATAAGCTAGAATAGGAAAGTAGAAAATTAATACATGTGAACAATCAAACTAAATGTTATGAAATGGAAAAGAAGTTTCGGCACACACAAGATCACATAGAGACCTCGTTTCTACTCCATGCATACATTGCTTGGACATATATGAAGCTATTAACCATCAACATCTGGTAATTTGATTGTATATCGGAGCTCTACAAATCACATCATTGGTCATACTCTTTGTAGATTGTTTAGCTACCCAATATTCTTTGATAATTAAAAAATCACTAGGTATGCAAACTGCCAGAAAAACTTGGTAATTGTTGCTTATGGCCATAAAGGGTGAAAACGTAGTACTGAGTCACTGAAACATATGTTGCCCTTGATGTAACAAAGGGCTAATAGGAAAGAGAATAAATATCAAAGAGAAATTCAACTTGGATTAACGAGGGAAAAGAAAATCTTAAAAAAAGAATTCCAATGGGTGCTGCTGTACCTTAACTAAAAACTTCAAAATCTCGTTTGAGGCACTAGCAACTAAGAATTGGAAAAAGAATGACAAAAGCGTAAGATAGTTAAAACTCAAAACACATATACTTGGCCTAATGCAGAATGCATCATGGCCTCTACCAGCCACATTATTTGGAAGATGAATCACCCTTTACTTATAAAGAAATGAACATTTATTATTCGAACATAATGACATTTTTTGCCATTTAATTAGAAGAGACCTTTGAAAGACCTCTAATAAAACAACAATGCAAAGAAAATTTTAGAAGAGTTCATTTCAGAAACTGGTTGTCGTTTGTCAGGTACTAAGTTAAAGGGTCATTTTGAATACCTTAGGACCCAGCGGCTCTAATCCTAAACTCTCCTCAGTCATTGTTCCGTACGACTTTTGACCAACCCTGCGGTACAATTCTTTGTCATCTGCAAAAGCCTATAACCAACTAGTTATATATACATATATTTGACCAAAACCAACTAGTTATATAAAAGTATAGCAAACTTAGAAGTTTTACATTTGAGACTGAGAAGAGACAGGACCACATTATTTTACCTGACCAGCCCACCCGCATGAAGTTCGAAAACACCTCCACATTGCAAATTCACTAAAGACACCCAGTGGCCATTACTGAGTCATTGCGAAAATCAGGTAATTATCACCGCATGTCAAACCAAGTAGAAGAAGCTTACCCATCAGGTATGATGTGGAGGGACAAACTTCTCTCCTCTAACTGTCCCCCTTTACACTGGAACAGCAAAATAGACACAATACCGAAGCGCATTTTAGGGAGGGTGAAGAAAGACGGAAGCAAACACTTACTGCAGATGGTAGATGAGAAATTCATAAAAATGATAGGAACAGATACCTTAGGACAGAACAAATTCTGGTACTGTCCAGGCAAACAAGAATTGTCCAAGTCAATGCCAAGAAGTTGCATTTTCTGCTTCAATATGTCCGCTCTAGGCATATCAAGATTATTCTCCACAAACGGCTCCACATTATCTTCACAGAACGCAACAAATGACGTTAGAGAAGCCCAAAGAGTTTCGAAGACCATGTTATTCCATACAATCCTTTCCTGGACGCAACTAGACCGCGCAGAAAAATTTGAAAAGAAAGACCAGATTGAATTAACTCAAGAAGGCACCTACGGCGTCCCTGCCAAGAGAATCTCCAGTAAAATAACAGGGAGAAAATGGCGGCAGAAAAGAATTACCCGGCGAGCTAGCTAAGTTGTTAGCATGAGCTAGGGAAAGAAAGAGAACGCCGAGAGACGATGATCGGCGGGGTGACGGTGAGGCTCTGGAAGTGAGAGGGAGTTTGGAGGGAAGGAATCGAGTGAGAGGACGAAACAAGAACTGGTGCTGAGGTATTGACATGTTGAGTTTCTTTTTGGGTATTGAATTTAATTGCTATCTCGTGTCATGGTCGCTATAGACTCAAGCCGTTTCTATCCCTTGGACATGGATAGTTAAGTGATAAGGGAGCTCTTCTTCCCGGATAACACCTACGAGCGGCTTGTCAAGTGTTCGCTATTCGCCCATCCCCCCCTCTTGGCGTACCCGACAGAACAGCTTGCCGTTGTCTTCCTTTCCCTATTCTTTCTTCTCATGGGATTTTGTAGCGGGAGAATGGGGGAAAAAAACGCGAAAATAGAAAAATTGTAAATTAGAACATGTTACAACGCACGCGGCACAACAAGCAAATGCTTGTATGCAAATTTCCCCCTTTCATTTATTTTCTTTTTCTTTATTTTTCTTCTTTTCTTTCCTTCACACTGCTTTGAACTGGTAGAAGCAATCCGCAGTTACTTTTGTCAAGTTTTCCGATTTTAGCCAGGTCTTTGCCAATTTTACCTTCTTTTTTTCACCCGACAATTTTACCTTTCTTTTATCGACTTCAATTTTGTCAACATCTTCGATTTTAATCAGATCTTAAACTACAAATATCGAGAACTTTGATAACTTAAACTTCTATGGAGCTATTTATAAATTTTGAAAGTATAAGAATCAAACTAAAGACTAAATAATCAATTTTTCAAAATGGATAAGATAGAAAATATACAAGATTCTGTTTTTTCAATCTTTTTATTCTATTTTCCACTGAAATCGAATTCTTTTGATAATTTTCTAGTATCATAACATTTTACATTACTTGATAAATAGCAGAAAAATGCATAATCCGATGGACGCAAATCTTTAAAACAAGGTTAACTTCAAGAAGACACATCCAATTCAATTAATCTTAACCATATTAAGCCAATATAATGGCACATTCATGCCAGAAATTTTAACAAGGCCAGCTGTGGCCACATAGAATAAGTTCTTTCTGATCTGTCCAGTATAATCCCGTTCCTTTTACACGGAACGGATCAAGAGACGATAGTACTCTTCATTTTACAAATACACAACACTATGATCTCTGCACATCTGCAAGATGGGTGTTATAACAATGCGAATGTCCAGTTTGATCTGTCCAGAGCCAAAAAAACAAGATGGGATCAAAAGAAACCCTGTCGGGGTAGTATTATTGGCTTTGCGACCATGTTCGTTCTCCGCTAAACAATGTATTTTCAGACAGCATCCCTGGGATCTGGCCAGAATATCATAGTAGCATGCCTTTCGGAATAAATTGGGACAAATGCAGCTAACATTAACCATATTCCCCAGATCCCCCGCTTTATTCTTGAGCATGAATAGATCGGCACTATTCTGTTCTTGAAGAATAATAACTTCATCATTTACCCTCAGGAAGATAGAGAAGAAGCTATTATAGGTAAAATTCCTCGCAGAACCCCCATGTTTAAGGAGAAAGTGGAGTGACAGCTCCTTAGTGGGGGCAACAAAATTGCAACCTGATTGCGGGCATGTACATGGTGCATAAATGCATTGCTTTTCATGGTCATTTTTCTTGCTGTAAGTTATTGTTTCTTTACAACCATATTGTGCATTTAGGCAGGATATCTTAACAGATTCCAGCACCTTCTCAATGGCTCGGCAACGGTTATAGCCAATGGGCATAGAGCACATGGGACACTTGTTCCCAAGTTTAACACAACAGGAAGAGCAAGCAATATGCCCATTCTCACACTGAAACCAAAAGTAACTTATCAAATTATAATTCTGCAACCAACAAAAAGAAGGGGGGAAACTTCAAGAGGCATTGTAGTTAGAGTCAAAAGTTCTTTTTTTTTTTTTTGCACAGCTACTTACCCAGATAATGAGCAAAGGTGCTAAAAAAAAAATAGTGAGACATATCCTGACTGAAACAGCCTATGGAAAATAGCATCAATCACTATGATGAAGAATGGATTACCCAGATTAAGACTTAAACTAATTCTAGCGGTTCCCTACCTTCCCCTTTTTTCTGTTTTGATGATATGTTACCTTTAATGTGGTACTGTAGCCAAATAAATTTTCCTTTTCAGTACTTCAAAAGACAGCATCGATTCAAAAATCAAACCAACTAGTGATACAGGTAATTAATAACTTAGAGATATAATCATGAGCATGTATATAAGTTCAACAACTTTCGAAAGTAAAATAACTTTTCAAAGAAATGTCATCTATGGTGCAAGCATAATGAAATGCTTGGTTGTTTCAGCTATACACTGTGACCCAAACCAACATAAGCATTGTTCATTTTAGTACATTAAAATTAAAAGCAGAAAAAACATGATAAATAATTAATCAACATATTATATTCTATTAACTTATCTCAACCTTGTGCATTTGCACAGGGGTTCATAATTTTTTTAAGATCGCACCAAGTTAAAAGTCAATCAACTGTCATGACAACAAGTAGTAAACAAACATTAAAAAGTAAATCTACCTTCATATAATATATTGATGACATATTAATATGTTGATTATTGAAATTTATACAGTAAATGATGAGAACAGAGACAATAATGCAGCATATAAAAAAATTTAAAATTTCCAGTACCAAAAGTTCAGCCATGATCAGAAACACAAAACCGATCTATACTGCTGATAGATCGCCACTATATAAACAGCTATACATCTGAAGAAAAAATGTTGCTGCTATATAAATATTACACTATCATGACTTTTACTTTTGATAAAATCTACTACTAGGAGTCGAGACTTTTGGCTACCTAGAACCTGCATAATGTGTATATGCATACAAGCAAGTATGCAAAAACATGAATATATAATACATATATAATTTTTAATTTATGTATGCATGGCTGCCTTAAAAAAATATAAGGCATGTAAACAAGTAATAAAGTCACGTCCACTACTCGAACATTCCTGAACCATTTTTCAGGCAAAATCATGGAAGCACGGTTGATTGACATTCACCAGAATTTAAGAAGCAGCTTTTTATTAATCAAGGCTGGCAACAGAGTAGTGTAAGGTTCCCGTTATTGCCATCTTCAAAAAGGACACAACAACCCTAACGCCTAGTGATATGCAAGACAAATAATCAGTCAATCCAAACTACAACCACTAACCATTGGCTGCACACTTCATATAAATTTTAAACTCTGGTCCTCAACTTACACACAACTTCAAATTGCAAATTCCTCAAGCTTCTAATGAAATTCTTTCAGAATGCCATCAGGAAATTGAGATTCATGTTCATGAAGCGACAAGCAAATACCCGTGTACTTATCAAAGAGGAAGTGTAAACTGCCGTCATATTTATGACATTGATCATTAATGCAACAGCACAGGAAGATTTTTCATCGACAAAGAAATAATTATAGGCATTAAAAACCGACCTGGAAAATAGGGATACTCAAGGGTTCATAGCAAATGCAGCAATCAAACACATCAGGATCGCTAAGGGTGACAGAAATGGACCTATCCCTATTTTCAGGCGCTGAAACACTGTTGTCTTCACCGCTATCGCTTGATCTAGCTCCAAAGCAATTGCCAGAATCATCGTTACATGGATCTTCTTCACTTTGTAGCACCTCGAGCTCCTGCACAATATCTTCTCTTTCGTCTTCTGTTCCGCTTGGGTTTCCGATGTCTTGCCGTTCGTCTTCTCCGACGGTGCCGCATCTAACAACAATCCGGCGTCGCTTTTGGGTCGGGTTGCTGGGTCCCTCCCCATCGTCGTCCCCACCAACCGAGAATTTCGCCATTTCTCTCCTATCCGCGATCTCAAGATTTGTGGGTCCACGGATGATGAATTTGACGCACTCTCCCGTGTTTTGTTAATAGAAAATTAATCAATTTTTATTGGATTTTTTTTTGGGGGGGGGGGGAATTGAATGGTATCGTGAAAATGGCTCCAAGCTGCTACAACTTGAGAATTAATGTAAATTAATTTGATGTGAAGAAGTGAAATTTTTTTAGTTTGAATGGTATCATGAAAAATATTTTTTTATAAATCGAGATAAATTTTTTATAATTTATTTTGTATCCAGTAAAATTATTTTTGAAATTATAGTTTGATTTTTATTCAAATATCTCCTTAAACCCATCAAATGGAGGTTGGTGTTTGGAATGATAGTAGAAAAAGTAGTTTATTTTTAATCTGATTTTTAAAAAAGTAAGATTAGGTAAAAGTTAAATTGGATAAAACAAATTGTATTTAGATTAAAATTTAAAAAAGTTAGTTTGGTAAAAAATTATTTAGATTATGATTGAGTAAAAATAAGTTTGTTTGTAAAATTACCAAAATGATATGAGTTTTAATAAATAATGAAATATGATTAAAAAAAATTCTACATGATATAATAAATTTAAATTAATTTAATATGAACAAGTGAAATTTAATGGTAAATTAAATTTTAAAACTTTAAAAAAATCACAAAAAATATTTTAAATATAAAGTGAAACATGATTAAAAAATAAATTTACATAATATAATTAATGTAAATTAATTTAATGTGAAGAAGTGAAATTTAATGAGTTAATTAAATTTTAAAGTTTAAGAAATCATGAAAAATATTTTAAATATAAAGTGAAACATGATAAAAAAATAAATTCACATAATATAATGAATTTGAATTAATTTAATATGAGAGAAAAATAAACCTTTTTTAATGTATTCCCAGGGGATATGACGGGTAAACGATTTTTTTTGGTTATTTATTGTTGTTTATAATTTATAATTATAATATTTATTGCCATTTTTATTACCAATAAATTTTTTGGTTTGTGCTACCAACCCTCAATATAAAATTTAGTTGGCTAATTTGAACAGATTAAAAAAAATAAATTAAATTATTTATTTATAATAAATATCTATTTTTTTTCTAAAATATCCTTATTAATCAGTGTATTAACTAGAACTACTATTATTATAAGACTTTTTTTTTAAAAAAAAATAAATATGAGAGACAAAGTGGATTAGGATCTTATATTTAAGATCAAAATAAAATTCAAACGAACCCTTATATTAAGCACAAGAGGTGATATATACAAAGAAGACGATGGATAATATTCATATTATTTTACGGTTGAAATTACAATAAGCCATGACCATCATTTTCTAGATTGCAGAAAAGAAGAAAATTTTAGGTAGAAAAGATAGAGAAAAATAATTAGTTTTACACGAACAATAATAATATTGTTAAAAAATTATTATTATACCATAATCTTCATTGATGTAATTTTATAAATAGAATTAAAATGTGTTAAAAATGTAATTAAACTAAATATTAATCTTAATCTCAGTTTATAACATTTTATTCAACTTTTTTTATTTTTAAGATAATTTTTATCCAATTACTTCATAAAGTTTAAAATAAATTTCAAATTAAAAATATATTATATAGCATTAAGAAGCAACACACTGATGGGTAAATAAGAAAATATCAGTATTGTATTTAGATTGATGATTACAATACAATTAATATTTTCCAAAACAGCTGTCATGACTTATGAGTTACAGCTAGAGGAGGATTCCGTTAATCAATTTAGGGAGGAGTGAGAGAGAAATAAAATTTTTCTAACACTTCCAATGGTAAGTCCGATTTCACTCCCATAAATTACAAATATCAGCTTATCTTTAAAGGGGTGTTTGGAAAACCTAAAACCATGATTTCAGAAGCACTTTTCCGCAAAACGAGATAATCTCCTCCACATATTTACTTCGTAATTCGTAAAAGCACTTCTGAAATCATGGTTTGATTTCTATCCAAACACCCCCTAAATCCGTTTCAATCCAGCTTTTTAGGCCCAAGTTCGATAACTTATAAGCTTTGCCAAATACTTTCCAACTTTCCAAACGGGTTTATCAGAAAAATAAGTAATTTTTGGGGCCTCAATCGCTCAGCCAAACAAGCACGAAATTGAGCTATGAACCTCTTGACTACTATTGAGTTGCCTATCTAATGAGCGATTATTTATGTCTAGCCAAAAAAAAAAATTCCAACACATTAAAGACTCTACTTATTATAACCAATTAATAACAATTTTTTAATAAATTAATCAAAATTAATTACTTCTTGCAAAATAATACCTTTATATAAGAACTAGTTTATAATGCAATTTACGCTATAAATTAGTTTTTATATTTAGAGTTGGAGTTAGTATTACAGTTATCCTCAGTAAAATTTCTTAATTAGTGAAGTTTGGTTAATAGTTAGAAATTTTTATAATTAATTAAAGATCCTACATGAAAAAAAATTAACACTTTCAACAAAATATATTATATTATGAAACATGCTAGAGTCTAGAGGTTCTTTAAATGCTGGACGTGAAGGAGAGAAGAGAAAGAATAGAGAGCAGGAAGGGAGGGGAAATCAGAGAAACAAAGGGAAAGGAATAAAAAAAAACAATATTATTCAATTCATAAGTCTTAATGAGATGTGTTGACAGTTATTATACCTTAAACCGTAGGAACCAAAGAGAAAACATTCTAGAATTCTAAATTAGGCGCAAATAATAACTAATGCTAAGGAATAACATTATATCAAAACCAAACAAATATTATCACATCTAGGTCTGCTCACAGACAGGGAGTCCTAATGAATAGGGATAAGACAAGATTTCTCGTGTCCTGTCTCGTCTTGAGGCCGTCCTTTTTTTTTATTTACAATTAATGTAATTTGAGCCTGGATCTTTTTTATGTTATAATATTTGTTTTCTATTGAGCTTCTGAAAATAAAAACACTAAAAAAAATTATGTACAAAGCCCAATTATATAATGTAAAAAATGTATAAACACAATAAGAACTATTATTAAAAAACACTATAATGGCTTATGAATTATTTTAAACCAATTCCTCGCTAATTCCGTCGGTAATTTGATTCCGTCGGTAATCCGTCGCTAATTCCGTCGCAAAATAAATTCGTCGGTAAATTCCGTCGCAAATCAGATGTTTTTTGGTAGTGTGCTAAGGAATAACATTATATCAAAACCAAAACAAAATATTATCACACATCTAGGTCTGCTCACAGGACAGGGAGTCCTAGTGAATAGGGATAAGACAAGATTTCTCGTGTCCTGTCTCGTCTTGAGGCCGTCCTTTTTTTTTATTTACAAATTATGTAATTTGAGCCTGGATCTTTTTTTATGTTATAATATTTGTTTTCTATTGAGCTTCTGAAAATAAAAACACTAAAAAAATTTATGTACAAAGCCCAATTATATAATGTAAAAAAGGTATAAACACAATAAGAACTATTATTAAAAAAACACTATAATGGCTTTATGAATTATTTTATTGAGATAATATTACAACTTAAGACCTGAAAATCACTCTAAGAAATAATTATTCTTCAAAAAAGAATTGAATAACCCCATCCCATGTCCCGTCCCATCCCGGTCACTATTTTGTCCCCGTCTTATAGTCGTCTCATCTTGAAATTTTTTCCCGTTCTAAATTGGTTGGGATGGGATAAGTTGAACAGCTCTAGCTACTGTCAAACAGCATTGATTGTCTTCAAATCCTCTAAGGTCTTCTCATTAATCTTTTTTTCTTCCTTTTCTATTTTCATCATCCTTATAATAAAGATTGGAAGGGATAACTAATTTCATAATGTTAGTTCTTTAAAGTTGTCAATTTTGAAAAGGTAAATGTAGTTGTCAACTTGTTTTATTAAAGTTGTTGATTTTTGGCAGCCCGTTATTAATGGATTTGTTGTACTCAAGTTGGAACCTGAAATAAACTACTGAAGCTGTTAATTTTCAAGACTTAAGCTCTCGATTTGCTGAGCTAAAGTTGTAGCGTGAAACGAACTGCTATATTTGTTAAATTCAATTTATCAATGTAAACCTTGTTTTTGGGGTATGTTTAAAATCCCTTTAGACGTATGTGAGGTCTAATTTTACCATTATACCAATTTGAATTTTGTGAGAAAACTATTATTCAGGTTGATGCAATGGCTTATGGAAAAAATATTGATGCTGATTACATTGATGACATTATATCGGGTTGCTCTTCAACTAATTGTTTTTGTTATAACTTCATTTTCGGATTAGTCTGCCACATCGATATATTTTACCGGTGAGAATACAACGTTAGCACTCTGTTAGTTAAGCCTGAGAGTTCTGAGTAGAAACTAGAATGGTATAAAGATGAATTGTTCATTCATGACAGCTGTGTGTGGACTAGGTAACCCACAATTGCTCTCAGTTTTCTTCACTCGTCATGTTATCTAACTGCATCTGCTCTTGCCTTGCATTTTGTGGCTAGGACCATTAGCTGGCTAATAAGGACCTATTTCCCAAACAAGACAGTCATAATGAAAAGCGCAATTGATTTTCTGTTTAAACAAAATGATTATCTACCCAAATAAGCTTCCATTTCCAGTTTTAACCCCCTCGTATTGCTCTGACACAGTTCATGAGGGACCTACCATAATCATATTTTCATGTTTTTTCTAACCAACGATTTCTGGCCCGTTAGTCATCTGTTAAAATTCATTGAAATAGATGCTAGTAGGCCTTGTTTTTCTCGTCTTTTTTGTTTGCCCCCTCTATTTTGATCTCTCCTTTTGTAGATTGTCAGTGGCCTTGACCATTGCTAAATGAACCATGTAATAATTTCAAGTACACATTCTTTTAGCAGTAACAGGAAATTCTTGCATGACCTTATTGATTATCGCTGATATCAAAATTATAGGGGATAAACCTTCACTAGAGAGAGAGAAGTAAAAATTTAATCATCTTAAGGGCAATCAACAAATTTCTAAACGAATTCTTGATCCGTAAATCAGACTGGAGTTTACATAGCAGTTCGTGATTGTATCACCCAAGCAACCCGACATCAGATGTCACATACTCAGACTTTCTAGCTAGGGCCAATTGGCATAAAGCATCTACCCGGGGGGTGGGGGTGAAAGGCTTCTTCTCATACCTCTTTTAGGATTAAATAGTGCTTTTGTTGCTTTATTTTGCATTTTTTCAGAAATATGTTAAAAAAAAAAATTGTCTTCCCTTGCACCAATAGAGACTCTTCATCCTTCCCTTCTCATGTTGATTGATACATGTCTAAAGTGGCCATAGATCTAAAAGATAAGATCTTTGATTGCAAGAGCACTTTAGCTAATTATGGGTGTCTGTGCTAACATTCAGTGTTTGAAGGTAGGAATAACTTTGCTACTGATAAGTTGTTATTGCATTACTATAGCTCCTGCTGCTGCCACCATGTCCATAGGTATAATTATTGGTAGTCCTTAGTTACAAGGGTGTTATATATATTATATATATATATATAATATATTGTTTCTCATTTTTGTTGTTTTATGGTTTTTGTAGTTTCTTCTTATCCGTTGAGCCCTCGGACATGTCTCAAACAGATCTGCATGCATAGCATTATTGAGGAGTTGGAAGATGTTGTGAACTGCATGTCTCTTCATTTTCCACTGGCAAGTGTGCTTGAAAGGAGACAACCAGTAATTAAATAGGTTGAGAGCATCGTGCACACTCCTCGGGACAAGGAATCAACTCAACTCCAATTCATAAAAATGTGACACCTGCCGCGCACCTCAACCACACTGAATTGAGTCTTTTATACCATGAATGTACTTGAGAATTTCTTTGCTGCTTTGCCCACACAATCTCCTATTTTTCCGGTTAAGTTTAGTTGCCCTCTAGCTCATTTTATACGTTATGGCAAAGCTTTGGAGAAATTGAATATTACTCCCTCCCCTCTTATTTATTATAAGTTTCGAACTTAGAAGGGGTATAGTTTATTTTATAAACTTCAATTTAGGTTTGTTTTAACATTTAATGCATTTTTTTTTAAATTTTGCCCTTAATTACTTTTGCTCTCTTCTTTGTCATGATCTCCCTTATCATATTTCCCACAAATTCTTTTTTTGTCTTTTTCTCTCATTATTATAAGGACATATTTGAAAACAAAAGCATGTTTCTAGCATATTTATTGTTTTTAAACTAATTTTAACTAATTATTTGTTATCTTCAAATTAGTTATTTGAAGCTTATAATAAGAACATGAGAAAGTAGTTTCAAATTTGAAGTTGAGTTTGCCTGGCTATGTAAGTAAAATCACTTTCCTGAGATAGGAACGTAACATGTTACTTCTACTTGCTCATTTCTCAGTACATGTGGAGGCACTGCGTTGGATAACTCAACAGTGCTACAATTGCGAATCCTACAGTGTTACTGTTACATATATATCATATATCATATATTATAGGATGTAGCAATTTTATATTTTATTTTTTTTCCCCTTCCCTTTCTTTTCTACGAGGACAAACACGGCTGACCGGAAATCTGGCTATTGTGGAGACATTTGCAGGAAGTCATGCATCAGGGTCTGATGGAGATGAAAGTTTCTTGACTCTGGCCAAGCAATTGTCCGTAGGCCTCGTGTGGGGCAAATATCTCACAGGGCATTTAGGATTAGCCTGTTCAAGCCTGTGTAGCAATAGAAAACAACATCAACGATTGTTGTGGTAGAGAAGAACAGATGTGTGTGTGTGTGTGTGTGTTGGAAACTTGACAAGAGTACTCACTGGTAATTGAGAAGAAAATGATGAAGAAAAACTGCAATTTCCATCTTGGCAAGATCATTTCCAGGACACATTCTAGTTCCCGCTCCGAAGGGAAGGAATTCTCCAGCCCTGTGTGCCGAGCTCTTTTTGTCCGCATCAACCAAATTCACAAGTTAGATGATAAAAGCACAAACTGATATTGAAAGTAACACACAGATCAAAAATAGGACCAGGTATTTGTTTGGTTTAGATTCTTCACAGAAAACAATAATTTACTCATTTATTGGATTTTATGCCAAATTCATGAAGAAATATATCAAATTTGTGCCCAAAAAAATTATATAATTTAAGACGGCATAGTTATCCCAAAAAAAAAAAACAGATATTTACGGGATATTTTTAAACAAATGTGTGAATAAATAATTTCAGCTATAAGTTTTATCCAAAACAAGAAGGCAGAAGTAGGAAACATACATTCCATCGAGAGGGATTAAATTCCTTGGGGTTTGGATATATTTCAGGATCCAGATGGACGGTCCTGAACCATACAAGAACTTTCCAACCTTTTGGGACTGTGTAACCTGAATCATCCAGGTGCAGTTAGTAACATGAGATATTGAGAGAAGATGAAAAGACAGATTGCAGAGAATGGGAAAGACCGTTGATATTGACATCTGATTTGGCCTCTCTAAAAACCACCAATGAGAATGTTATCAGCCGCAATGTTTCATCACAATTACCTACGCAAAATCAAATTTAATTCACAAAATTAGTGGTGTGATTCTAAGGATCATCAACATTGTATCTAGATTTCAATGTACCTTTGAAAGATAATCCATCTGCCGTATGTCCTTGAGAGTCAAACCCTTCTGAGTTGGTGGCCTTCTCTGGATGATTTCCTCTTGCTCTGCTGCCTTTGCCCTGTGTAAATACTCTGGGTGCTTCTGAAGCATCACGGTGGCCCACATCGTGATATGCCCTGAGGATTCATGGCCAGCGTTTAAGTACATCATCATCACATCGATTATTTCCTCATCACCCAGTTTTCTTCCACTTTCATCTTCAACATCCATTAAAGCATCCATCATGTCTTTTGTTTCTCTGCATGAATTCTCCTTCCTTTGATTTCTTCGCTCGTCCACTATCGATTGAAATGTGGCCACCAGATTCTTCCTGGCCTGAAATTCCACTCTCAACTCATTAGAATTTGGACAATCAGGAGGAAAAATCATTTAGCTAGTCCCCCCTTTAACTTACCTTGAGTGCTTTGTGGTATGCAAATCCAGAAGATTGATTCCCATGGCTCTAACTCCATAATTAAGCGTTGTATATTCCCTCTCCAGAGCTTCCATCACATGCTCACTCTCTGAACTAAGAAATATGTGCATGATAATTTTAAAAGTGAGCTTTCGGAGCTCAGTTAGGAACTCAATTTGTCCCGCATTGGACCACTTCTCCAAGGAAGTCTTCACATTTTCTTCAATGTATGTCAAGTACAAGGACAGAGCTTCCATGCCATTGATGGAAGAAGAAGTCAAGCGCCTAAGACGCCGGTGTTCTTCGTAAGAAATCCCAATGAAGGATTTCTTCCCAATGAGCTCTACAGTAGAACGAGGCCAACCCACTGTGAATTTGTCATCATCTGTCAAAACTCGTCTGCATGTTTCTGGTGTTGTCACTATCACACTTGGACTCCCGAACATTAAAATCTTGTATATTCCGGTACGTCCGTATCTACATTACATTGTTTAACTTTCATTACAAACTCATCACTTTTGTCAGGAACTTCTGAGCTTAGAGACACGCACGGTGATTTTAGTGTTGCGCTTGATTTCACAAAGTCAGTTTGGCCTCAACATTTCGAAATGTTGTGGTTAAGTGTTTTTGTCTTGGTTTCGTTCCTGTAACAACTAAAATGATGGTGTTTCAATTTACTTGGTTCGCTGAAATGTGACCTAAGTGAATGTAAAGTTTAGTGATTTGATATCCCTTGTTGGGTCTATTTTCATCAGGAATTTTACCTATAGAGTTCATGAGGGACAAGCTACTGCAACTTTATTAATTTATAATACCACATAAACATATATTATAAGACGAAGGGATGTTAGTGATATAAACATGCAATTAAAAGCTTCTGTTCAAAACACCGAGACGGTACAAACAAGTTGAAGGCAAACTAATTTAATGAAAAGTGCTTGACTTTGATTTGGAGTGATGTGTAATAATTAAGGGCAAGGGAGAGCGTGATATGGATCCATGTGTTGGGGATATTTGGTTATATTTTAAGGAGATATGAGAGGAGGGAGGCCGTGAAAGTGGGGGAATTAATTAATGAGATTTATCCGCGGAATTACCGACAATCATGAGGTAAGGTGGGTGGAGCATCATGGCAATCACGTGAGGCCCACGAGGGAAAGGGGATTGTCAAGGGAAGGGATGAAACAAGGCGAGAAGTTTCGTCGACATGCGTGAAGGGCATATGAATGCAACAGGTAGAAGACACAAAGCAACGACTTGGTAGAAAACAGAGAGAGAAGAGGTGTTTATGTGACAGTGAAAATGACAAAACAGAGCAGCCCATGCTTGAACCTGTGTGTGTTGGAGGGCATGTGTGGATGCTTCACTTCAAACTTTGACAAAATTCAAGTTTTTTTGTGCCAACAGAGAATACACGAATGAATATGAATTTGATAGATGCATACTCCAGAAGAAGAAGAACAAGAAATTACCTGGAGATAAAGGAGGAGAGGAAGGAATCAGGATCAGAGGACTTGAAAGCTCTGAGGAAGGACCACATGTTGCCAATGAAGGGGAGGCCATAGTCACCGGGAGGGAGGGAGGAGTGGTGGCGGCGAGGCAAGTGGGATTCGTAGAGCCACCAGTTGACAAGGCTGAGGAGGAAGTTGCGGAAGAGGAGAGCAGGAGCAGCGGCCATAATGGCCCCAAGCACCAGCAGCAGCCACATGATAGTGAGTATCTTGACAAGAGCAGGGTCCTGAAGTGATACTGTGGGAGAGAAGGCAGAGAGTGGGTATAAGATGAGCGAAGGGAAGCTTGGCCGGCCTTATTATATGCTTTTTGTCGTCTGCGTTCTGCCTTTCCCCCCACAGCATCCTATACCCTTTTCCCACACCAAACCCTCCTCTCCTCCTCTCTCTCTCTCTCTCTCTCTCTCTCTCTCTCTCTCTCTCTCTCTCTCGCTGTGTGTGTGTGTGTGTGTATCAATTCTATTCTATTCTACATAATAGCCCCACCCACACACTTCTAATACACTAATACTACTTCTCCCTCTTGCTTTCATGATCATAATAATCTCCACTAGACATGGCAGAGGTTGACGAAGAGTCAGTGTTCATGCTTGACCATTTAATTTCTCGGAAACAGTAGGGTTCAGTCACAAGTACCTTGAAATTTGGAAAAGCTGGCTAGCAACAAGTTACGTTGGAGTTACGTATAGAGCGTGAAAACATAATGTTTTGCACCGAGATGGGGGAAAAAAACAAGGTTACGAGGCGGTAGCCACAGCGTTTGTATTGTAGCCTTGTCCATCCGCGCCACTTTTACTTTGGCCTTTACCCTGTTTTCTATTTTTGGTAGGAATCCAGCTTTACCACTTCCCCTTGTCAAAAGCTCAGCGCTCCCTTAACCATGATAAACCATATTATTCCTCCCTCTTTTGCTGCCAAACACGCAACGATAACTCATTCTCTGCGAAGAGCTTATAATTACTTTATTTGGTTACAAAGCCTGAGGGAGGCATCAGTCTTAATTAGCCCATCTCCAATTTTCATGATGAGTTCGTTGACAACCACATGGTGCTCACTTAATTCTTATTAGAACCCTGCCACGTTATGACTATAGTGGCCCATCAGCAGGACGGCCAAACATTAATCGAGTGCGCCAACAGCTTAATTAGGTAAATCTGACAGCACACACAATCTGTGAGCTCTACGCATAAAATTAGGTCCAAATGCAAGCGCACGACGACAGATTTATTAGAGGGTGAGGGATAATTAAGGTGTCAGAAAGAAGTCTACAGGGCATTAATTGCCTCAAGTTAACAAATATTGCATCCGGTATCCGATCTTGTACGCTAGGGGGCCACTTAATAAATCTCATATATGTAGCAGATCAAGACCAATGAGCTGCCTGGGAAGTGAAAGCAGGATTGATGTATGGATTATATATGTGGTGAGGGGAGGCTTTACATGTAGTGAATGGATTAGTGGTTTGCATGGGAAGGGCCCTCAAGAGAGCCGTCTGTAGGAAAATGATGCTGTGTAAAGCGAGAACATTGAAATGGCCTCATTTCTGATTCAAATCCGATTCCAGATTTTGGTTGTCCTCTTTTACGCTAACTTATTCAACAAATATGTCACTCCTGCTCGCCTTTCAAACCCAAACACGATGGACACTTGCCCACATTTTTGTCTAATGGACACCACACCACCCACTGGACACATTATTTATGCATTATATATTCAAAATTATTTCCACATCCTCTCTTCCAACATGCTTAATTATCTCACCCACATTAATCATTACCTGTTTGCTCATATTTGTCAAAACTTTTTGTGGTCCACATCTAATATTCCTTATGACTAGGATTGATTAGTTTGTTAATTGCCTTCTTTTTTCAATAACCTGATGTCTAGTGCGCGCGAGTCTTTGATGCGAGTGATGATGTTAATCATTTTAGTTTGATAGGTATGGGAATATATGGATATTCAACAGTGCTAAGTTCGTATCTTTATATGCCTTGTATATGCAAGACATGATATACCCCCTTAACATTTTTATGTAAATGATAATGCTCTTATCATTTACATAAAAAGCCATATATATACCATCTAGTTATATTTCATTAGTCAAACCACGGACCAATCAACAAAGTGGTTATTTGCATAAATTTATGGTCAACTTTTTTAAATAATAAAGTGTATATATGTGTGTGATAGTAAACTCAAAGTTGAGGCGGGGTATGTATAATCTAGCGTCTCATAAATAGATACTATATGAAGCAAAAGCATCTTTTGGGACACACGAGTGAATATATATAAATATATTTTTGGGTTGGCCCACTTTCAACAACAGGAGCGTTGTCCGCGAGAGTTGAGACGCTCAGACTTCCAAATGCACGTATAGACATTAAATTCGACAACTCGTAATAGTCCATTAATTTATTGATTAGCTCTCATTCTCTGGGGTTTTATTACTTTTATAATCTGCGGCTGCCATGACAAAATGGTGAACAGGCAAGTCGGCTTTGAAGTTAATGTTGCCAGATGGTGCTTGCGTGTGTGTCTGTGTGTGTTGAAGGTTGCTCCCATTGTTCTTACAACCACTGAAACTTATATAAATTGCTACATAATTATTGCTCACGCAAAATTAATGAGACTCTTGTATGTATAATTTTTGGATGCAACATCCTATGTTTATTAATTGTTTATTAAAGTCCATAAATGCATGCATACATACATATATATAGCCAGGCACCGCTTGTCTTCATGTCTTACCTTGTGTTTACCTAGAGACCATATATATATGATGGACATATAATCTTTTACAGTATACAGTTTTCATCGATCATTGTAATGTAGAGTTGAGTGCCCACGTCTATAGCCATATTAATATTATATTTGGTCCAATTACATATGTATTGAACTCGTCTGATCTGAAAGGAGGATTATAATTAACTAGATTCGATGTTGGCTCTTCCTAGGCTTGCGCTCTGATGACATCTGTACACTACTAGTTATGTTATAGTAAAATTCTATGAATAGGACTAAATTAGTTATATAGCCAGTATTGACAGTTTTTTGATGAAAAAGAAACTGTTTATTTCATAATGAATGCTGTTGAATTCAATGTGAGCTGGAGTTATCCAAGTTGAAAAGTCATCGTCAGACCTATGTGGTAATCGTAAGGATGAATTGTTCTCCTTGCCCAAATCGAAGGTCAAACATACAATATTGTTCTGGTTGATTGGTTTTTGCCACTTGAAACATTCTACAAGGCATATATTCATCATCTGCCGACTTTTTTGACTTTAATTAATTGTTTCATAAAATTAAATATGCCCTCATATATCGCATGGTGTTGTGAATGATATTGATTCTTACTTATAAATTTTGTGCTGATATTGATATGAATATTAATTCTGATTTGATTGATCGATTGATTGGAATCAATTGTAGCTCCACAATCAAGCTGATGATGGAGAAGCGATGTCACCCCACACACTTACCTACCGTGTTTCAACTCATTTGGCCCAGCTAAGATTGGAAAGAGCTCTCATCCAAGTCTCAATCCTCCACTTCAATTTGGGCCCTTCGCACATTTTCGGAGTTACAGGTACACTGCATCCATATCTATGCCTATTATATTTTCAAGAGGATGGGAGATGAAATCATTCATCAAGTATTGAAATTCAAATATTTGGGATTCATTGTATATGAGGATGGTGAAATTGATTAAGGCGTTTCTCATATAATACAAACCGGGTGGTTAAAGCAGAGGAAGGCTATTGGAGTTATTGCAATAAAAATGTTCCTGATAAGTTTAAAAGAAAATTCTATCGGATTGCTTTAAAAAACTAATACTGTTATATGATAGTGAATGTTGAACTTTAAAAGAAAAAGTTGAATTATCATTTGAGATGGTTTGGGCACATACAGAGAAGGCTATCAGGCATCGATCAGTGAGAAGATAGATTAGACAATTTGGAGTCTTTAAAAAAAAGTAGATGAAGACCAAGGAAAACACTCAATGAAGTCATTAAATAAGACCTTCTAATTAACAATCTATCTAAAGACTTAGTTGTTATAGAATACAATGACGTTGGTGATCCACATAGTTGACCTTACCTAGTGGGATAAAGCATATTGTTGTTGCATTCATCCACTTTGTATATTATATGGCAACCAACCTTGGACTTTAAAAGAACAACAACAATATGAAGTTGGGATATTGCAAATGAAAATATTGAGACTACATGTAGTCATATTAAAAAAAAAGATTTATCATGAATATATATGAGGAAGTAGGGCCTCGTTTCTCTCCTCTGTCCTTCCCATCAACTTCGTCTCCATTGCTCCTCCCTACTATTAGATTGAAGTTTAAGCAGTCTTAATTAATATTTTTTAAAATTACTAATAAAATGTCAAATTATTAAAAAAATAAATAAATTCAAAACTGCTTAACTTTAGTCATGACAGCTAAAAGCTTTAATAAAAAATATTTTAAAATAATTTTAAAAAATATTAAATCTATATCATTTAAATTTCAATTTAACAGGAGAGAGGGATATGGAGAGGAAGTGGATGAGAAGGGTAAAGAAGCGAAACCAATGAAAAACTTGGTGTGGTGGGTATTAAAGAGAAAACGGTATAAAATGTTTTAAAGTAGTTTAGACGTATATAAAGAAAGTTGTTCAAAACACACGTGAGGATGATAAATAAAAGAGAGAATTATAATCAAGTTCCATAGAAGAAAAAAATTATAAAATAAGTTTTAGAGGTTGTCATTCTTTATTATAAGACTTGTCATTACAGGCTGCTCAGGTTGTTATTGAAGTCTTTTAGTAATTATTTTTCTTTTGTGGGACTTGATTGTAATTCTCCCTAAATAAAACATTATTAAGTTTTCTGAAAAAGGATGAAGAAACTAAAAAGAATATTTAATGAGGTATTCAACATAACTTTGTAATTAACAATGCATCCAAAAATTAGTTATTGACAAAGCACAATGATATTGCATAATTCATAGAGTCGGTCCTGTTTAATAACATAAAGCTTGTTATTGCAGTTATATAGTCAATATTAGATGAAAAATAGTGTTTTTTTTTCCAAGAATAAATGTGACCAGTTGATTGATAGTATTTAGTAAATTTCATCATCATGACAAAACAACACTAATAGTAATCTGATAATCTAGTGGCGTATAAACTCTCTTCTAAATGGAAATTTATGGATTCAATTTTACTAATCCAAGCTATTAGCACTTACCCTTTAATTAAAAAAATATTTTATAATCAAAACATTCTCTTAGTTAATTCCTAATTCCACTCAATTATCTCCTTTATTACTCTTCTAATATTATATTTTAGATTAAGGTATAAATTTATTTGGGAAGTTTTCACTCAAGTAACATTAAGCACTATCGAAAGTTTTGTTTAGTAAAAATTTATTTTGAAAGTTTAAAATTATAGCAATTTTACTATCTACCATTGAAAATATTAACGATCATAATAATTTTAGTAGTTGTTAGTGTTAGTTTTTTTAATGACGGGGGGTAATATTGCTACAATTTTAAATTTTAAGGAAATTTTGCACTAAAAAAATTTCGGGTATCTAGTGCTCTTGAATGAAAGCTTCCAAAACAAATTTGCACAATTGCACCTTAACCCTTATATTTTTACTCCATCAACAAGCAACAAATCACCCGGGCACATAATATATATGGTACTCTTTTCCTCAGGAATTTAATATAAAATTATTTCATTAATTTGGATAGAATAAAAAATAAAATAAATTAGTTAATTATAATTAATGTAACAAAATATCCTTAAAATACTTCCATGCTTGATTATATATCAATTTATTAATTCGGTAAATTAATTTGTAAAAAATGATAAATATGGTAAATGAATTTTATACAGGTATTAGTACTATTGAGGATCAAATTTAACCCATTAAACTCACACTTAGATCAGCAACAAGAGAAATAAACTACATCTACTCGGCGGTGAATGGTACTTATATTTATGCTGGTTTACTTAAGACAAATTGATTGAGTTGAAAATCAGTTAATGAAAGTCCTCTCTCCTCATACCTAGTGACTGACTAATTACAAGTCATGAATTAACAAGGCCTTGTTTCATATTGAAAACGATATAATTAATTAGAAATTGCACGAGAACTTAAGTAACTGAAATTATCATCAGTTCAAACACATTACAAAGCAAATTGGCTGGTTTAATCATTGGCACATGTATATTGATCCGAAATTGCACACATCAGAAACTTGGAGCTTATTTTAATATGATTTTTGTTGAGTTTTGCTGCTATAGATTTTGGTCTACTAGTTATGGTTGCTTTAATAAATGAAAACATATAAATTACAGTTATTATAAAATATATTACATGAATCAAACAAATTTTGTTAGAAGAACTACGCGCTAAATTCAGAAATTTCTAACAATGACCTAATAATATTATATATCATATGTTATATAACATATAATCCATAAATAATCTAGCTCTTTATAAATAGTAAAAGGAATAAATATTCTTTGATGATAAGAAGTAATCTATAACAAAACCGCACTTTAATTTAGAAATAGAAAGATCTACTACGTACTTATTAAGCTCATGATTCGAAGGTATTTTGGATGATTCTTAGAGATGACTTCTTCTTCATTAACTCACAATATTAATTGGGAAAAAAAAATCTCTAACAATATGATGTCCACATGTTTAAAGCTTGCACGAATCTAATTTTTGACTACACTGCCACCTTATTTTTCAGACACTTTAGATCATTTACCAAGATCAGAAAAGTGTTTATTTAATTACATAAATAAATAAAGCGCTAGCATTTATGACCTATTTGAAAATTTTTGTTTTTGAAGACGAACAGGTTCTTAAATATTTTGCTTTATGTTCAGACATAAATGCACTTCTATTAACAGATATTTTAGAATAATTTTTATCTGGCAGTTCTAAATATACCAAATTAATAAGGCATGAGATCCATGCGAAAGCAGCCATACTATGTTCTATATACCAAATTAAGCGTTTTGGCTAGTTCTAGTTTAGCTAATCCAAACTTATTATTATTCTAATTAATCCGATCGAGGATATACTACCCAGACATTACAAGGAAAACATGTGGACAAGCAGGCGAACATGCAAATACAAAATGGTTAAAAGCAAACCTCGTTTGGCTGAATTTTATTATCTGCTCGCGGGAAGGAAAAAAAAAAAAAAAAAGAAAAGAAAAGAAACTAGATGTATAGCAAATGATTAAAATAAGAGTAGAATCATTTTTCTTTTAATGTTATACTGACAAAAACAGTATTAAATTGGTTGCCCAAAAAATAAGGGAAATACCACTTTGATATGTTTCATGAAATTAATATAATAACAATTAGATTTCAAAATTTTTTGCTGATGAAGGATAACCCAAGCATGCAAACCATTGCTGCTTCCCTCTTGTAGATTTGTCATTCACGCACATCTCTATACGAGACTGATAAGAAAAGTCACGCGTGCATTTATTAACTCCTTTTGGAAGCAAAGAGATGGGTGCAGTTTATGTTGTGCTTTTGTGGACGTAATTTCAGTTTCTACAGGGAGGTCTTAAAATGATTTCCCATTCCACTAGTTCAACAGAGAATGTCCCGTCCTTTTTTATGATCCATCTACTCACCACTCAGCTATGGAGTCATTTATGTCTCCACAGAGTTAATGGACCTGCTCATTTTCACTGTTGAAAACTTCTGTTCCTCAGCTTTCTGTCCCATCCTACAATATTCCAAATTATTATTGCCTCTCCCTTTGCTTTGCTTCCAATCAATTATATATGTTTCCTCCTACCTCTTCCAGTTAACGGGAAAAATATAATGGCCGTACCGTAATCAATCAGAAGAAAAGTAACAGTTCAACTTTCAAGCCAGATGAGAATTGAGAACCATAATCGATCGTAATATATATATGTGTGTGTGTCTTAATGGAACGTGAAAGAATGTTTCGGAAATTACGCTTAAACTTTATTACTTTGAGAATCTCTTAACATAAAGTTAATGTTTCGATTAAATATACAATAAATTATTAAATATTCTAGCTAGGTTCAGCATACACCAATCACTTCAATATATTCTGATAAACACTCCCTTGCTGCACAGGCTGCTTGTGATTAGCAGTCTCGAGGAGTTGATCGAGGGAATGGATCTAAAGGCTTGAAAACCCCGCAAAGAATTCATCTCCATCGACTTCCATGTCTGCCTCCACCTTTTGTTTCAGCAACAACTGGAAAGTCTAGTTAATAGTACGCTCTTGGGAATCACTTGTGGCCTCTGAAATAACCAGCGAGAGCGTTTGTTTGGGTCGGCCAAGGATGGTTATGCTCCGAGGTGTAAGTGATCACTAGCATGTTCGGCTCCGTCCTGCTCCTCTCCACTTGTTTTCTCGCCGGGCAACCCTTTGTGCTGCTGCATCTATAATAACCCCTGAAATACATCCACAACAAGTTGCGTACAATTATTTATGTTTGTATATTATCCGAAGGCAAAAAATCCGAAAGCTCCTCTGACTTAATACCTTTTGTCTAATAACTCGCATTATGAACTACTTGTGCGATTAATCTATATTTAGTGTGAGCGAGTTCAGCAAAAGTCTACTGCGATATACTATGCGGCCGCGCTCTTGAAATCATCCTAAAATCCTGTGTCTCGGCGAGACAATATTGGTTGGGATCGATCTCATATCCATCAAATTCATTCATTGGTTGACGTACGTTTATTGATGATTTCTATTATTTTAATAAATCCCTATTGATTCTTGTCAGCTGGAAAATTATACTCTTCCGGTCTTTAATATAGAACCTAGTTGATTTTGATTCTAAATATAAAATCTATTTCTTATATCTATCAATTTTTTCCAAATCAATCCTATTGATACTTCCTTAACCATAATCAAGTATGAGAGAGAAGAAAGATATAATAAAGATGATTAAAGTATTTTAAGAAAAACATATTATATTTATCATAGTTAACTAATTTACTTAATTTTTTTAATTTGAGATAGTATAATATACTGCATTGACGCAGTTAAGTGTAAACTAAATTACCTTGGATAAGGAGAGCCTTTGATAGGTTTCTGACCGTACTTTCTCCAAGCCCACAGATCACAAGGAACCGCCTCTCCACCACTTGATCTACTGTTTGCTGCTATTGGTGCAGGAACACAGACCACCTTCTTCGCCAGGCTCTTCCTACAAATTTCCATATTTATTTCTTCTGTTATCTTACGTTTAGCTTAATTTGTTTATAATTAAGTTATTTTACCAACATATTTTCCGCTAATCAAAGGCATAGATCATACAGGTATTCAAAGGCATGAAAAGCGCTCGTCGATCGGTGCTTCAAAGCAAAAACTGAATCGTACAAAATTAACCTCTTTCAGATGAAGTCTTTAGTCTCGTCATTCAACTCTTTCCTCCATGAATATGATTAGTCTTTTGCCTCCTCACCATCTTCAGTCAACCAAAACATTTTGAAGAAAAAGAAGAAAAACCAAAAAATAAAATTGCCAAACCTAATTAGCCAAATAATCCTACTTCCTCTCTCAAACATTTCTGTAATTCCCCATCCTCAAATTTGTGAATTAAGGTGACATGAAAGCATATACAGGCACATTTGATTCTTTAGCCCCATCATAGAAACTGGAAAACCGAAATCTCACCTTTGCTTGAGAGCCGGATTGCGTGAAGATGAGATCTGGGGGGAGCAATATTCAGATGTGTCAGGAAGCGCCTTAATTGGGATGGTGGCGCCCGGTGATCCACAGGGTGAAAGAGGTAAGTCTGCACTGGGAGAGATCTGAGCCAAGTTTGAGAATATGTTACCACTAGACCTCCTTATGTTGTCCTCGAGAATTTGGTGTCCCGACGAAAAAGTAGCTGCAGAACCACTAATACCTAATCCAGCTGCTTCTTGCATACTCCCAGAAGTGGTCGTGATTAGTACTTGAGCAGAATTACTTGTGGTATCAAGGTAAACATTTGAAGTTGCAGGTATATGATGGTAGTGGTGGGGAAAGGGATCTCGAACGTTGGGGATGAACGGATCGCCGAAGCGGCCTGGTATAATTGGCTCTTCCATGACAGCAGGGAAATTAGTCAGTGGATCTGAACAATAGAACTGCCAGTGCTCATATGATGATGAAGTGACAGTACCAGCACGCACTATGTCACTTAAATCACCTTCATAACTCTCCATAATTGGCCCCAAGATGCTGCAGTACGCAACTTTTTTTCCCCTGTGGAAAATTATGCTTCAAGAGGAAGATGAAGGCAGTGACGTACAATTAATTTGCAGACGATTAATCAAAGACATGCAGTTCTTGGTATAATTTTGTACCGCTTGTATGTGGGCAGATTGTAATCTCAGTGTCAGTGATAACTTTGATTCACATGGGGCTCTGAGAATAAAACTATCCTGGTGGGAAGATGATGGGTTTTGGCTAGCGAGAAGCAAAAAAGCAAAAGCAAAAGGCTTTCTGGGGATTGAAAACTCCAATAGAAATGGGTTAGAGAGAGAGAGGCGCTGGCTTTTCTCGAAGCAAATTCATTTCATATGCAACAAGCTAGGGACGCCAAGGGAACGAGAAAAATTGGAAAGAGAATGTTTAATCATAGACGAGACGGACGGTGATATTAACGCCATGCTCGAATGTGAAAGCTCGACGGACTGCCGTTGTAGCATTGACAACTTACCGTTGACATGGTTATGTTTTTTTTTTTTTGGACAGAAACTGTTGATATGGTTATAGAAACTTTAAAATCAATAATAAGAACATCAGTTTATAATTTTTTTTCATGCCAACAAAGGTGAATTATAAAAACCTCATTGATCTTTAATTAGACATATCTTTGACGCTAAGAAAAGTGTCGCTACTATTATTAATATTAATATTGCTTATGTAATCGTATTTATCTACTTGACCGTATTTGACATAAAAATGGAAATTCTTAATTAGGACAATGTAAACAAAGATGAAAATTTCATTAATTATAGGAGCATTTATTTAAAATAAGATTTGTGAAGCATTTTCGTAGCTCTAATAGGACAACAACAAAAATTTGTGTCATTGTGCTGGAAAATTTTTCGTTGTAAAAATCTATGGCACTTTTCTTGGGATAAGATGCAAATTTGCTCTGAAAATTTTTATTTAAGAGCAGTAGGCACCTGACAGTTTTTTTAAGTACAAATTTACCTGAAAGTTTAAAATCATAACAATATTATCCCTTATCATTAAAAATATTAACGGTCAATATTAGTTTTTTAATTATAAACAAATTTACTCCTAAAAAAACTTTCAGATGCAAAGCGCTCGTGAATAAAAATTTTCAATTTGCACCTTAACCCTTCAATTAAACCATTGCAGATATATGTCACTAGATATATAATCTCCTTCTTATGGAGTTGCATGTTCTCGTAATACGGCGACCTGGATACGTGACACAAAACCACTTTTTACCAGCAAAAGTTGGATTAATTAGTTGATAAAGCAAATCACGAGGGTGCGTGTAAACTTGACATCCGCTATCACGATATGAGACTTTTGGCGAATACCACAAATGTAATTCTATAAATATTCTTTAAGCCACGATATTTGACATGACTTGATAAATTTTTTAGATTCAATTATCCGTCGACAATCCAGAGATATTGATGGCATGGTCAATGCTCTATGTACAATCGGAATCCTGTTTGCCAAAGTACTTTTTATCTTCTCTTAACAAATTCATAATTAATAGCACGCAAACCTAAGGTTGGACTGTTGGCGAAGGAGATGTTGAAGCCCAGACATCATCTCAATCTATATGTTCCGTTAATTTGGATGCCCAACAGGGTCAAACAAAGTTAAGTTTCCGGGCAAGTAGGACATATATAGTGCTAAAGTTAGTGTCTCAAGGGGGGGCCAGGGCAGGAAATTGGAGGTGTTATTACCTATTCAGAAAAGAAAGAGCGTCGCAAGGATTTATCATGTGGTAATGGGTTGGTTGAAGGTAGATTCATCTTAATAATTAAGGACATAACCGATCGAAGCTGGTGTCCATGGGGTCAAGGAGCTTAATCAAATGAGTAGTAGTTGATAAATTGTGTTTTGGTTGCGTATATGCCTTAGTCAGATTGTAGGTGTTATTACCTCCTATTTTCACACTCTTTCGCTTTTACTATTTGTAACTTTTATGATACTCTCTTCATTCCAAAATTTTTTTAAAAAAATTAAGGGGCAAAAAAAAAAAACAATGCTAGCTTAGTGTCTATGAGCGCACCTAGTTTGATGGAATGAATTCTCGTTAAAAAACAAAAAAACAAAAATAACAGGCAACATGTGTCAATAAGAGTCTCCGCATTAACTCTTTTTTTTTTTAATAAAAATCTACATATTGCACTTCTCTAAAATTACAATTATTTTCCGATGGAGAAATTTGTTAACAAGCGAATGATGGAGTAAATATTGGGGTCAACTGATGGATTAATATGAGAGAGAAGAGGGCTTGTTTAACAATGGCTATTATTAATAGTTAATTGTTGCTGTATCCATTCAAACAAAGCCATAATGAAGTGGCTTCCGTGTATCCATGGTGGGGATCCGGGATGTTTTATTTCTTGGGGTGGGACAATGACAGGCATACCTATAGTTGGAAATTAAAATAAATACCATCTTAACTGGGGTCAACAGCCCGAGGCAATAGAATCAACTAGCCCAACATCACTCTACCACGACTAAGATCATTAGTGAAGACAGTCAACGTACGTGCATTCTAGAACGTCGGAATGAACAGATTACCATCCAATTATAATTTTTGTTTAATTTTTGTGAGGCTCACGATGAAACATGGGAAATACTATGGGCAAAGTGGTATTCCACAATCCTATTTTTATAGGTTTACTAATCTCATATAACAAATAATTACTCATACTAAAAATTTTTTAATGATTTTTTAATTGCAATTCTAATCTCCATTCCTCATTTTCAATATTTCACACCAAACAAAACCATAATCTCTTCATGGATGCACAAAAGTTATTAACTTCCCATCGATCACCCAAAAATATAAAATTAAGATTATGACGTTTTGAGCTAATGGATGAATGGTAAATGACACAAACTTGGCCTTGGAGGTGGGAAATGGGAATCATCCATACTAGTACTAATAAATATCACTTCTGATTCTTAATATATGAGTTAGATAACTAATTTGGGGGGATTATGAGAAAATTGGTTAAATTGATTAATTATAACAAATGTGTATTGACTTTTCTAAACTACCATATTTAATTATGTGCATTGGAATTATCTCTTAGTGGGAACCCTTATAATCAATAAGAATATTTTAGAAAAATTATTATAAATTTAAAAGATAAAATAGATTGAAGTTTTATACTTAAATTAACTTTAAATTTCAACTAGTTTTTATATTAACTTCTACTAGACAGAGTAACAATATATATGATGGAAAGCACTACTACTTCTGACTCTCTCCTCATCTGACCACCATATATGAATATAGCTTTTGATGAGACACTTTGAGTGAATCTACAAAATCATGAGCCTAGCAGTAACGCAAAACCATGATGACTGTATAATTGATATATCCTGCACCCTTTTTTCTTCTGCTCATTTCCTTTTACAATTGTGTATTTAGGGTTTAAATTAGGTCGCAGCTCGATGCTAATTAATTAACTTTGTGTTGATGTTCTTGCATTAGGTTAGTTGGTATTATATGATTAGCATTAATTGTGTTTTAATTAATTAATTTTTCAAATTGTGTTTTTAGATATAATTTTCCAGAATTTAATTGGTCTAATAAAATTTATACATATAAAATAATATATCGTTTTGTACATTTTTTTGGGCAGGCCTAAAGTGACAAAGTATCTACAGGCCACGAGTGAATTTAGCGGGTTATGAGTCACTCGCTTAGTCCTAATTCTACTTCCAAACATCTCTCCCAATCTTCTTCCTCAAATGTTGCCCCCTTTAAAGATTATAAATATATCAATGATAAACCTCCAACTCAACATTCTGTCTCCTAACACCATATCGCATTTAGTACTTTTCATGCCCCCTTTGGTACAGGAAAGTGATTTTCCAGGAACTAAAAGTAGAAATGGTTAGTGCAAGTGAGTTTTAAAACATGTTTGGTATGTGGGTGGAAGTGGGATACAATTTTTAGTTGAAATATGTCTTTATGATATGAAAATACTAAAATATCCTCCAACCCAAAAAAAATCCTACCCCTCCCCTCAACAAGCATCCTAGCACTACAAAACATGTGTATTTTCTAGCGTTTAAATTACAATTTTTCTCGCGATTTTAACCGCTACAAACAACCTTTGTAGCGGTTAGAAAAACCGTCAGAAAATCAAGTGTAAGAAACAGTTTTCTAGCAGTTAAAGGAACCGCGCTACACAGTATGGACAAAACACCAGAAAATTTCTAGCGGTTCTATTAATCGCTAGAAAAAACAAGAATGCGATGAATTTTCTAGTAGTTCAAAACTGTTAGGAAATTTTCACAAAACCACTAGAAAGTTGTGCACGAAATTTATTTTGCCTTATTAATCACTAGAAATTTGGCGTCAAGCGGACCAAATTTAAATTTTGCAAAAAAATTTCTGCTTTTTTTATTTTTCTAGCAGTTTTTAAACCGCTACAAAATTCATTCCAGGTAAAAAAATAAAATTCAAAATTTTCATTATTATAAAATATAATCTTATCAATTAAAAAACCATTAAATTGATTATATTAGAGAATTATATTAATAGGTGTATTTACCAATATATTACATGTTATATATTTAAATTTTGTGATAGATAATAAGTAATTAAATTATAATTGTGTCAAATGAATTGAATTGAATTGAATTAGACAGTTGAATTGGAGATAGGATAATTTGTAGTGTTGAACCTTAACTTTTATGTTGAAAAGTTGTTAAATTAGATGAGGAGGGCATGACAAATATAAAGAAGAAAAATATTAGAAAAAAGATAAATAAATATGTTAGTAGACTATAAATAAAGATAAATAAAAGAAATTAAGATTTATAAAATGAATATCATCTTACCATTTAAATAAGAGAGAAAAACTACCATATGAAAGAGTAAGACGAAAAGAGGGAATTATAAAGAAGAGGAGGAGAGGAAGGAAAAGAAATAGAGTAAATGAATAAGGAGGTGAGATAGTATTTATAGAGATCAACAAGA